TTGATTAAATGGACTGATTTTTACACTACTAATAAGGGAGTACTCATAATTGACATTCCTACGAAAAATGCTAGAAAACACTGCTTTAAAATATTATTATTAATATGAATATAAATCCGAAGTCTTTGATGAGTTATGAGAAAATAGTCTGAGCCATATGATCACAAATAATGAACAAGAGATATTTCCAACCAACGCTTCAATCAATTATCATATGGTCCTAAATTTCTACCACAGATATATGTTTTCTTACTTAGTGTTTCCTGAAACTTCTAATTATTAATAACTAGATATATTCAGTAAATAATTTACAAAAAGTTATTTATTTTTTCATATTCATCAAAGTATCGTGCAGATATTCAAGCATTTCTTCTCGATAAAATGACTTTTGATCCACTCTGTATTGTGCTTTACCATGAGAGATATGCATCACACTTGATTGTGGATGTCGGTGAAGTTCTCACTGTAAATACATCTTCAGTCTTGCCATAGTTAGAATAGTACATTGTTAAGTTATACGTTGTGAACTGAAAGTTTTGAAACAAAGTCTTCCTTTCTGTGTTTTGGACCAATGAAAAGGATCAGTCGGAATTTTATAGAGTTTACGACGAGTCAAAATTTTGTAAGTGAATCTGTGAAAAGATCAATAATAAATGTTCGACGATTTTCAATGCATTAAAATATTTTCAGGATAGAAGAGAAAAGTTAGTCTAGATTTTCTGAAGAAAAAAAGATTGTGAAGATTTCTGAACAAAATAATATCTTGATGGAAAGTTTTCTTGAAGGTAACTATTAATAATGACAGTTTTGGTAGGAGCGATCATGACATACTCATAAGTCCTTGATTTAAAGACATACAAAATGAGTTTAGGCATGTATGAAAGACTACTATGAGCTTTTCGATTGTTAAATCAATTTGAAGAGAACTCTCCCGTTCTTTATTGTATTCAAAATTTTGAATTAACAAAATCGATATAGTTTGTTAGAATGATGCATACAAACACATCATATTTAGAAAGACAAATATCAATGAATTGTTACTTTTTGATCCGATTAGCGCGAAAAATGATAGTAGGATAAAATAATTACTGAGTAGTGTGTTTTATGATATCCTACGCTTGTCATAAAGAATAAAAGTTTCCCAACATATAGAAAAGACCTTATAGAACAGGCAATGTTCAAAACATCACACTAAAAAGAGAACAGAATCGTCTTTTTTGCAGAGAGTCCTGTTGTTTTTCTCGGGAACGAAACTGATAAGAGAAAATGTTTTCTCATCAGTATGTTACTAGAAGAATCTTCCTTCTTTTCATTTAGTCAGCATGCCACCAGCTGTATGACTGGCAGATCTAGACTCGGTTTTGAGTCACTCTACACAAAAACATACACATATCTGTCAAATAATGTTGTCATTAGATGAAGAAATAAAATTTCAATCAGTTATATTTTTGATAGAACATCGAATACTTTATTTTTTTTAATAATGTCTCTCATAATTCAAGGACAGTTATGAGCTAATAAAGAACTGAAATTGGATGTGACAGTGGAGCGCGCAAAAAGAAATAACATTTTTTAAAAATAATGATTCAAATCGTTTGATCAAAATAAAAGATTACTTTCTAGCTTTTGATTCGTTTTAATAAAAATTTGAAGTAATATTCAGTTGAAAAATCATTGATTTTTTCGTTGAGTGATTTTTGTTTAAATTCTAAAGATTATGTGACAAAAACGTCAAGAAGTAGACCAAGTTTTTTTTTGATGATTTGAATTGTTTTTGTGAAAAAGTTCGCTGAGATCGATTGAAATCACATTTGTCATTTAATGGAGAAAATCATCGAACAAGTTTCGAATATAATATAGAGTCATCAAATAGATATTTTATTGAACACATCTGAAATTTCTTTAGAAAAAAGTTATGAAAAATAAATTGATGTCCATCTTTTGTTGTGAAAATTAAAAATTGTTCATCGATTGATCAATATATAACTGAACAAATTGAACCAAAACATAATAACGGGCGCAGCAGAATAAATGGCCACCTCAGCATTTTATCTCTAATTCTTTTTTTCTTTCATCCGAATGACATGATTTTATCATAGAAAGATGCATCGTGAAATTCTCTACAAAGTGACCTATTTTATCTTGGTTAAATACCGTTCGTCGTACTTTAAATCGAAATGGTTTCACTTAGGAAAATGATGAGTACTTTCCAAAAATAGTTATTTTACAGTTTTTCCTAATATCGCTTTATTTGCCATATCTTAGTGACCTTTGTTGAAATAACATTTTGATTTCGATAATTACCGATTCAACTCAAGTAGGAAAGCCTAGGCATTGCTGGAGTATCGGTAAACCCAGATTACTTCTCAACTAAAACAAACTATAAACGAAAGTTACTAAATGGCAAATAGAGCGATATTAGGAAAAACTATAAAATAACTATTTTTGGAAAGTACTCACAATTTTTTCAAGTGAAACTATTTCGATTTAAAGTACGACGAACGGTATTTAACCAAGATAAAATAGGCCACTTTGTAGAGAATTTCACAGTGCATCTTTCTATGATAAAATCATATCTTTTGGATGAAAGAGAAACAGAGTTAGAGATAAAATACTGAGGTGGCCATTTATTCTGCCGTACCCGTTATTATAATTTAAGATGTACACAATTTTTAATTATTTGAAAAGTAATAAATTTAAAAAAAAAGCAGCTTTTTTTCTAATCTAATATTGGATGATTTGTTATTCTAAAACGTCATTTTCATTTTTGATGTTGTCATTGCATATTCTTATATTTGTTAATTTTTAATAAATTGAAATAATTCAATATCTACTGTAGCATAAAAAACATATATTGAATATTTTGATAATCATTTCTGTCGGTAATCTTATTCTATCAAAAGTTAAATTCATTCCTTCAATGAGCTTTGTTTAGAAGAAAATATTTTTCAAATAATTACAATAGTAACAAATTGTTTTCTAGTATTTTTATGTGATATGGTACGATTATTGACATTAGTTTTTTTTTTTATGATAATTCTTCTGCAGCTAAACAAAGAAATGATTCTATGAAAGTGCATCTGTTTTTGTTTTGGATATATAGAAAACAAAAACCATGATCCAGTTGCCTTTTAGAATACTATTATATATATATATGTATTACGTGATTGAAACAGGGTTATGAGATCAGCTAGCGTTGTCAAACACGGAACAAAGACTTCGATAAGGACTGTTAATGCCAAAGAAAAACAGTTATTCGTGTTAATAATCAGAGTTGAACATGGCTCAAGGTTTTCAAAAATTCGCACTGAACTGAAAAAGAAATTTTTTGAAATTCCATTATCAATAACAAAAAATTGATGCAGTTTTCATCATAATTTGTTCGTTTTATTTCAAACAATTGTTATCTTAATTCTTATCGATATGATAGATGACCCCAAATCAAATGGCTTCTCTATATTCAAAAGATGTGAATGTGAAGTGCTTTGAATAGAATTGAAGGGTCTTTCTTAGTGTTTTTATTTAATTAAAAACGATAACTTCCATGAATATATATATATATATATGGGCGTGGCCAGTTGACATGATACCCCAATTTGCTTTCTTTCTATTATCAGTTAATAACCAAATCATATTCGAGTCAAATTATCACTCTCATCGCTAAACTACTAAATTTAAAATATTAGTTGCTGATCGCTGTCTTATATGAAACTATTCAATTCCTTAAAAAACGATAAGACACAATTTCAGGAACTGAAAAGTTTCATATAAGACAGCGATCAGCAGCTAATATTTTAAATTTAGTAGTTTAGCGATGCGGGTGTTAATTTGACCTGAATATGGTTAGGTTATTAACTGATAATAGAAAGAAAGCAAATTGAGGTATCATGTCAACTGGCTACGCTCATATGAAAAATCTCTCGTAGACTAAAGCTGTTTTGTATAATAATTGGTATTCAGGGTAATGACCTCTCTGCTATTTCTGTGTTTCGAAGAGAATGCTTAATTTTTACTACGAATGCTCTATTTTTCGTTTGCAGTGTTGCTATTTACTCATAATTTGTCATTTCTTCAAATTCGTTTTTTTCTGAATTTAGCACTCTTATTATTATAATCATCGAATTAACTCACAAAGAAATCTGTTTTACATATTCATGATATCAACAGCACATGTGGTGTACCATCATATATATATATAAATCAACTCACCGATAATGATATTAATTATTTTTCAAAATTAACATTTTATCAATTTTGAAAAAAAACAAAACATGTCGACAACTGAACATCTGCTATTTTTCATTACGAAGTATCTGTTGTGAGGAGGGCAAGTAGGAGTCGAAGAACTTCGAATTAAAACTGATATTCACTATTTTCTTAAAAAAATACACGCAAGTTCTACAAAGAAGTTTACAATAATTAAGACAGTGAAAAACATGATTAGATATCATATACATTTGTAATTGATAGAAAATAAAAAGAATATGCAAATATAATAATTTATTTTTAAAATATGAATATAAAAAAATAGCTCCACTAAATACTAAGAAATTCTACATTGAATCCGAATTTAGACATCAGTTGTCCGTTGACACACGCGTGAAAGACGATATCTACATGTATATCAAAGAAATTAATCAATGTTTGAACGTTGTTTTTTTTGAGTTCATTCATCAAAATCTAATTGGTTAATGCATGCAGTAATGATTAGAAGATGATTTGAAATGTTAATATCTAAATTAGTTAATAACTTAAGATTAATAATAAATAGTTAGTAAGAAATGTAGTTATATATGGGTACTGAAAACTAGTTCATTGTGTCAAGTAGTAATTACTCTTTAATAAGACTGTAAATCACATTCAATAAGCTAAAACTTTAATTATATGGACTAGAATTAAAATATGCTGTAGTCACACAAGTATTTATAGCATTCAGAAGTGTTACTGAGATAAAGAAAGAATAAACCTTTCATCATTGTTGTTTCTCAATAATTAGGATTTTAATGAATACGATCATCATCAAACAATGATTCTCGTTGATACGTTTGTCGTGATTTATTAATATTGTGCTTCATTTCCTCAACTATTTCAATATTTTTTTTTTATAAAAAGAAATTATTAGTAAAAGAATAATTATATAATGATAAACATACATGATCGTTCAGAATCTAAACGATGTCGTTCAGGTAGTTTGATACGTTTACCATTGTTGGTTTTTGAATCATCTATCAAGTGTTCAAGATAATTGCACATAAGAGCTTGCTAAATGAAAATTTTTTATATGAAATAAGTGCAAAAAGAAATTCAACTATAGAAAATTTATTATTATTTGATTACTAATTAGTTGTATATGGTTTTCAAGTCTCCCTATTCTATTTAAGATATTTTCCTGTAATGGATGACTAAAAATACACAAAAATTGAAAAAAAAATACATGAACGACATATTGTTTTATGTTTTTTTTTCTTTTGATATAAAGCATTTAACTTGAATATAAGTAGCGAGAGGAATGACTAATGAAACTCTTTCTTTATAAATCGTTCTATACTAAAATTTCATAGACCGACTACAGACGGAAGATTTCCGAGAAACTAAACACGGTCATTTTTATGTCTTAGAAGACTATTTTTATTGAAGAGCATAAAGTTTTGAATAAAAAGAAAGATTATCGCATTTTCTACAACTTTCTCTTAAAAATTTATAAACATTACAAATCGAGATTGATTATCTAAAACAAAACAACGCATTGTGCTGGTTTTGTAATGCTTATCACTTTTTAAGAGAGAGAGTGGCGGGAAGTGAAACAATATCTCGTTTATTTAGAGACTTTCTTCTTTTAAAGATGATATTCTTTAGCATTAATCTTCATAGAGTCTTCGGAGATCTGAACATGTTGTGTATGGTTTTTCACAAATCTTTCTCTGATAATTCTATTTATAAGATTTCAGTATACAATGTATTTGATAGAATATTTCACTAACTATTTCAACCGTTATTTAGGTTTAAGTACTTCGTATTGCAGAAAAAAATAGTTGAAAAGAAGTTAATCTGATATTTTGCAAGGGAGTTCTATGAAAGATCTCGATCTCGTGATATTTTATTTAAGTTTACTACTTACACTCTTTCTTTATCAAGATCAGATTCATCAAGTAGTTTTCTTTCCTATCTTAAATAATTATAATAAACTTCATCACCATATGTATCGTCAGTTGTTTCAATTTTTGTTATACTTTTGTCATCGAGTGACAGTTCTAACAAAAAAGTCAACTATTTTATTTAGATAAATAAAATAAAACAAAAAAATATATTTTACTATATTTTGTTCGATTCACATGTTGTCGATGTTTATTTTGGATGAATTCTGACTTATAACATTTAGTTAATGTATACAAAGTTAATCGTCCAAAATGAGACAAGAAAATGAAAGGTGATGGAAACGATGGACGTGATAAATATTCACACACTAATGAATATCGTTGAAATTTCCAAATACGATCTGCATTGCTTTGAAGACGATCGAAAGTATTACTAAATTAAAACAAATCAAGCCTTTAGTTAGATGCAAAAAATGGTTTCGCTACATATTCACTGTCTATAGTTCTTTTTTTTTTCATAACGATTTAAAGTAGATGTTATAAATACTACCTGAACATAGCAATAAGTAGATTGAATAAGAGTATACTAACAATAGTCATATAACCAAGCAATAAGATAAACGCTGTATAACCATTTGCTTTAAAATTTTCTATATTAAGGAAAAACATTTTATTATTTAATTAGAAATTTTTTGCCTTCTTTGTATTTTCATACCTTCGAATATTTCTAAACCTTTTATTTCACCAAATATATGCCAATAAGCAAAATTTATAATTTTACATGGTAAATACCAAGTAAATTCTTGAACACCAAATGCCAGTATAAATACAAAGAACATTAACATGAAAAATTTTAAATCATGTACCTAACAAAAAAAAATGTCTAACTAGTGTCTCACAAAATCAAAAAGATTACTTACCATTTCACCAATCATAACAAGTTTAGGCCCAAGTAGTTTTACAGCAGTAAACATATCCAATGTACGTATAAACCAAATAGATAAATCAAATGATATAACAATCTGTCCTGCACAAAAGCATTCTGATATTGAAATATATCGAAATACAATACCCACGAAAAATAGAATTATAGCCACAACATCTAATTTATTCCAGTATGATTTAAAATAAATTGTAACAGCGTTTCGTGCTGATGATGCTTTTGTACTACAAATAATTAAAGAATGTGAACACAGTAAATAGAGACCATAAGATAATAGATTACAAATATATTCAAACAAATTACCTGTCGAAGTTCTTCACAAACTAATGTAATAACCCATATGACAAGTATAATTTCAGTAGAAGATAGATTTTCATGCAATTGTAGTCCATATGCAACTGATTTACTAACATTATAGAAATTTATAGTCGATGTGTAACTTGTAACTGATAGAATATCATCTTTGTCATCGCAACAATCTTTTTTTGCTAGATTGCCAGATGGTATACATGAATTCATTGGAAGATCATGGAGTGGAAAAAAAATCACATAGGAAAATAATAATAAAAAGATCAAATGAGAGTACTAAAATATAAAATGAATAAGTGTATTAAATAAAATTATATGAAAAAAAGAACTAATTTTGAAAATGAAACATACTGTTAGAAAAAATAAAAAAAACGATTATTATCTAATTGAATACTTACTAAATGATAAAGATATTTAACATATGGAGTACGTATAAATATAATAATGTGTCGAAAATATTCAGAAACTTTTCTTAATTTCCTAAAAGAATAAAATAAAACGAATTATTATTTCCTTTGTCCAATTTAGACAAATATATAAATAAATTATACGTAAAATAATCTTAATTAACAAAAAAAGAAAATCGTTGTTAATTTAAGTCACTATTAGTATTATTGTTATTAATCTGCAAATTATTTTTCTTTGCATTCGAAAATAGTCAATACCGACAAATCTCCTAGTACTAGAATCTTGATCTAGTTTTTCTGATAACGAATTCTTTTGCTTTCTGTCTGATAACCTACAAATTGAATAATACAAAAAGAAACAAATTAATTGAATATAATAAACTCAAGTAAACAGAGAATAGATAGTTGATAGTCATGCGACAAACGAATTATTTTAGTGATCACTTATTATAAGAGTTCTATAATATGTATGTACATTTGATTTTAGCTTCAATAAATATAAAGAATTATTTTTCATTACTTAAGAAGGAACATGCAGAACTATGACATTTGATTCCTTAACAATAAACTATTCAGTATGCTTTTAACAGATTTTTGAGCATAACATTCTGAAGGTATTTTTTTCAATTCAGACTTTTAATAGGACTATTCATTAGAGAGAATTTTTTCTTGAATTTTATTTCGTTATCATGTGTTCCGACCAGAGATCGACGAGTCAGCCAAAAAAAACGACTCGCCTACGGTCTATCATAAAAAACGGGTTTTTAGACAGTTTTTTGACTACCCATAGTAATCACTATCTAGTTTATTCTTTAGATCAAATTAATTACATTTAATATATATATATATATAGATAAGTGAAAAAAAAATTCAAAATGAGATACAAATAAATAACAATCATTCAAATTATAGATCCTTTTACAGGACATTTGAGAAGTATTTTATAATGTATGATCAACATTGCGAGGATCTAAACAAATTTCCTCTATAATATCGATTATACCACGAGAAGAAGAGTTTATCCAGTACGTAATACGGTTAGTTCTTGTTTCGTCGAAAAATAAAATTTGAATGAAAATATGCAGAATCTCATTAGCGTTTTTTTAATAATCATTTCATTCTCTTTAACAGACTATTTCGAAAAACAATGATTGTAGGTGCATCTGTTTTATAAAAATTGTTGAAAAGATCATTATAAGAATCACACAACTAATAAGTTTACTTGATGATTATTGACAAGCAGCGCCGCTGAAATTTACAAGCACGGAACTGTGAAAACGTTGACACAGTAATAATGTTGATTGTATTATATAGATAAGAAAACGATCATCCACATTCTCATATATATATATATATATATATGGGGACAATTACATATCGTCATCCTAACATTTTATTTTTTTCTCCACAGTTAAGGTTTTGTTGTTAATAATCACTAACTCTATATTTTAATAAAGGATTTCAATTTATAAATAACTTTGTCATAGTGATATTGGATAGTCGCCTAAATAAAGCAGTATTATAATTTAAATCGTCTTCTTGATGTAACTTTGTCTATTCAAGAGAACGAAATCAATTAGAATAAATTATCCATATTATTCATCCTTTATATCAATTTACTTTTCGACGAAACGAAAGTTCACTCTCAATATGTATCTAGAATAAAATTTTTATTGTAAATTTTTCAATTAACTAACATAACAAAGGTACATTGTTAAATTCATACTGGGAATTATATAAATGAGATTGTTCATCTAGACCGAATAGATAAATATGTATACATAAATATTCATATCCATTTATTGTCGTGATTAGTTGAACTTTGTCACCAATAAAAGTTCTTAAAAGAGTCTACAATAAAATCAAGAGATATGATTAATGATTTACTATCTAATCACTAAAAATTATATTTTAAGTAGACAACTTTACTCAGCGAGTCACAAAATCAACTTGTACTCGCTTCGCGGTGAGACGAGGCGAGTTTGTGATCTCTATCTTCGACTTATTCAAAACTATTCTTCTTGTTTATGTATTGTTGTTGAATATTTTTAAGAAAGCTAGACTCATTGTTTCTTAGTCAATCAGTCGTTTGTCTAAAAAAGCAGCATATTGGTTTATTAAATTAATTGTACAAAAAGTCGATGTATTTAATAAAATCATGGTAGAGAAATGTGTTAGTTTCTTTTGTTTGATGACTTTTCTAAGATTCGGAATGTATTTCTCGGTTGAAATATATCTTTCTTGAGAAAGAGTTTTACTTCTCTCAAATACTGTTTTCGATACATATCTAAACAAATGATTTGATCTTTTGTTAGAAGACAAAGGAAATGCTTACCGTCTTCCATGAAAATATTTCTGACTCCGAAATCTGTTTGATATTTAATTGAATCGGAACCTCCTATTTGTAGTTATAATACTTTTATCAATCAATCTCTGATAACTTGGACTGTTATCTCAATAGATCTCAACATTCACAATCAGTTTACATACTTAACAAAGGTGTCGACATAGTGGAGCTACTCAAATGACACACTAATCGACAATCTTGCCCTATTCTTTCCAGGTTCTTGTTTTTCTTGATTTTCAGTCAAGATTCTTTTTCTATTCCTTCTGTACAAGATTCTTGCCTGAAAAATCTGATCTTGCCTCTCTGAAAAGATTCGTGTAGACCGAATCTTGTCTGATGAGGCAAGAAATCCTTCTTCAGACAAGATTCTTCTTTTTTTCTGATGCATCAGACGAGATTCTTGTTATCTTGAAATGCAGGCAAGATTCTTTTTGCTTTTCTGTCTAAAGAATCTTGTCTGAACACAATGCTCTTGTCTGATAGTAAAGAAAAACAAGAACCTGGAAAGAATATGACAAGATCGTCGATTAGTGCAGTGTAACATGATGTCGGATCTCAAAAGCATCATATATCACCGTAAGTACTTGTCTCATTGATTGTAAATGAATCGGATTAACTCGTGAGTCTTGAAGGAAACAAACTAATAATATCGATTCTTCGTACAAGTAAGGAAAGATATGAGTTTAAAATATCGTTTTCCAAAGACTTCAACTGCAAATCTGTATAATGATCTTGTCGAAAATTATTCAAAACTTTTGGAATTTTCGAAAAATCACAGATTTGATCATATATAATGGCACACGTATAATAAACATTCATCGTTAAACAAAAAAAGATAATTACTAATGAATGATGTTTAAAAAACAAAACTTCATCAAATAGAATTTTATATTGAATACCTTTGTTCTACCCACTGTTCTTTTGATGTTTGTTTTACAAAAAAATATGACTTATTACTTGAATTCTAGAAATGAAAAATAAAATAATGAAAGTCATTCTTTTGTAAACACATAATTTACTTATTATACATACAATCAGTGGGGTATTATCATCTTCTGTAACTAAATTTTAATTATAAGGAAGAAAACCACTATACCATAATATAAATGTAGAAAAAAAGATTTTTAAATAAGATACTGATTCTTTAATATATCCAAACCTATAAGAAAAATTAATTTTTGTTGTTTTAATTTTTCATTAAATATTTATTTATAACAAACCAAATATCATTAAATAGATCTTGTACAGCTCGATGAACAATAAATTCTTTAGCATCAGCTACAACAGTTAATTCTAATTATGTTGCATTACCATAAGATGGTATTTGTCGTATAATTGATTTTAAACATGCGTGTGGATTTGCTTCATAAAGTTTTTCAAGTATTTGTACAGTTAAATCTTCAAATTTATCAACCGATTGAATATAATTTCTATTATATTTTGTATGAGCATAATGTTTATATATTAATGTTGCAACTAATGCAACGCCTAAAAGATATACATATGTTTTGTTGTAATTAAAAAGAAAAATTTGATTTATTCATTTTATTCTTGCCGCGTGACCAAAACAATAATCCTAAATCTTGTCGATCTTCTATTATCGACCAAAGAAAAAGTTCTCTATCAATATTCATATAAACACTGTCAGTAGTTGTTATCTCTTTAACAAGAAAACAAACATCTTTAAATAATTTAAATATATAAATAGTATATTGAATTCATTCACAGAATGATTTACTTCTCTGTGTACCTTTATTCTTTAGATATCGAAATCTTACTTGGTTTCTTTTAATATAATTGTTGTTTACTCCAGATTGTGTGAGAATGTCAACTTCCAAGTCTACATAAATCAAGGGGGAACAAACTGATTTCGATCGCTGAAATCAGTTTGAAATCACCTGAAATCACCTGAAATCATCTGAAATCACCTGAAATCACCTGAAATCATCTGAAATCATTTGAAATCACATGAAATCATCTGAAATCACCTGAAATCACCTGAAATCAGTTTGAAATCATCTGAAATCACATGAAATCATCTGAAATCATCTGAAATCATCTGAAATCACATGAAATCATCTGAAATCATCTGAAATCACATGAAATCATCTGAAATCACATGAAATCTGTAGAGGCTAGTCATATTATATATACACATATATATGAACGTATAAGAATTTAGAATATGCTGTAAAAGAAAACAAAATTGTTACTCTTGTTTTACCTTTTCCTACGCTCATGGAATATTTGAGTATCTAAAGCAAGTCATGCAATATGAGTATACATTGAGATGATACTTAAAGTCTTTTGATGAGCTCATATACTTGAGCTTCTTAGGGTATCACCTAACGTTCTCATTCGAGTCTTTGAGATTTTGTTAAAATGCGTATAAGTATTATTAGAAAAGAAATATTCTATAGAAAACATCACAAGCTCCATATATTAATGGAGAACTCGTTTCCATGGCAAGCTAGAGATAATAATACTCCACTACATCTGACTATTTATTACAACTATGAAAACGATACATAAGATGTATCAGACTGATTTTAATTATATATTACACGCGGTTTTTTTTTTTCTTCAGATGTATACTCAACATGGTTTGGTTCATAATAAAAATTCACAGCTTGAAAAGTGAGGCGTGTTAAAGAATAAGAAAATCTGCACAACTAATTAGATTCAGCTATCCTTAATGGAAATGCACATTATTTCATTGAACAGAAGACCTGTTATGATTTTACTTCAGTAGGTTGTTTTAAGCATACCCATTCATAGTATTCTCATGAATTCGCCGTACAAATTATTTTAAATGTACACGTAATTCATACAACCATTCATATATTTGTCTATAGAAAGAAGGCCGTGCGATACGGACACATCTCAAGATATCTGCATGTCAAGTACATGAAAAGAAAAGTTCAACTAGGGTAGTCTCCAATACATTTCTGTTGACTTTATCGCAATAATAATAATGAGCTCATGATAAATTTTGGAACTACTATGATCATAAGCAAAAAAAGCTTTTCACATGAACATTCATTGTCGAATTGAATAAATGATGAATGACTTAATTCCCGTAATTATGTTCATACCCGAACGAAAAAAAACGTGTATGAATATTCTTCAGTCATCGCTGCACGTCGATATCTAGCGATTAATTATATACTATCTTATCATGCACGTTCTCTTTCTCATTTAATTGACTTAACGACATTTATTTTCGTTCATGGTCATTTCTACTTTATCTTCATCGATACACGTTATCTTTTTGTCTATCGATTTTCTTTGCATTTCTTTATTTTCGTTGAACTATTTCGATATGTTGAACAAAAGTTGTGATATACCTCATAATATTATGGAATTAGAAGGTGATCATTTTTTTGAATTCATTAAACAATATTCAGGTGAGAAGGTGGCTAACCTTCTCGAATTTCAAGATATTAGTAATGTACATTGTCTGCTTGCTTGTGATGATCCCTTAGAAATTTTATCATTGGATTCAAACGATTTATTAGATTTAAAAAAGAAAACATGCATCAAGTTAAATAATAATTCGTTTGTTGTTTTACCTGGAATAAAGAGCAAAATGAATCTTTTAAAAAATGCAATAATGAAGAAATATTATCAACTAAAGAAAGGAACATCAAAAACACCTTCAAATATTCTTGTAACAAACAATCCATCTACAAATAGTTTGGTAAGTAACAATTCTACTGATTCTGCAAATGGATGTTTGAATACACCAACGAATACTTCTTCATCATTAAATATTAATTTAAAAACTGAAGAAAAAATAAAACAATATCTGATCAAGTCTCTAGACGAGTGGTGCGAAAAGATGAAAGAAATTAAAAATAAAAATCAACAAATATTTCACCTCCAAGAAAATGTTGATTATGAAATTGTTATTGATATTAATGCAAACAAGGTATTGATTAGGTGCCAATGTGGTGCAACTGCAACATTAGGTCAAAAAAATAATAACTATATCGTAAGTCACGTTTTCACAGATTGTAGATATTTTTACAGAAAAGATAGGGAAACTCAAGTTTACTAGTGTTTGTATAGTGAGTTTTGCCAAATATGTTAATAAAGTATTTAGGTCGTTCATTCCTAAATGAAATCTATACAGAACATTTTGCACTAATATTTGAAAATGATTTTATAAATCAGAACTTTTTTGAACAACTGGAATGCTCTTTCGAAGGACAGAATTAAGTAATACATGTAATAATCTAGTGAACAGTCTCAGATCAAGACGATATTGATTTCGACATCTTGTATTGTGGGATGAGTTCAATTGGTAAAAATAATAAATAGAATCAGTAATCGAAATATTAATATCAACACTCTAAAAGATACCATTTCCAACAAGTCTGTTTCACTCGACTTCCTTTTTAGTTACATGAAGAACTTTTAGTCAACATGAGATGTATTATCAAAAGCATAGATTGTTTCACGAGCTGTATAGTTAAAAAAAATATTTTCTTATAGAATTTTTCAAATAATCGCCGACAGTATCGTTAACTAATACTTGCTAGTCTACGAAATAAGTTGTGTGGAGAATAGATAGAGCTCCTGTTGATATCAGAGTTGATAAAGATGAAGCCGGCCTTGTGAATAATGAAATTGAATATCATATTTTTACCATTCAGTTTAGACATTTAACATGATAATTATTGATGAATATTAATCATAAATTTATAGCATGTTATTTAATATGTAAAACTCAAGTTTAGAGCCACATTTGCATGAAAAAATATTAAATCTTTTTTATCCATCACGCATTTAATAGAAAATAATGAAATTTTGTAAGATTCAGAAGAGGAAAGAGATCCACTTATAGCAACGCATTTTAAGATTAAAATTATCTATTTTTTTCTAAACAAAAAATTAAAATGATATCCACAATTGATCTCAACATCTTTCTCATTCCAATGATTAATATGTATAATAATTTGTAAAAAATTACTTTTTCATTTTAGCTATCTAATTATATTCGTCATTTAACAAATCGGAAACCTTGTTTTATAGTTCAACAAAAACTGAAGAATATTAATGATATTACAACTGACAATGTAGCTTCTACATTTTCTAACACAGATGCTCCTGACGTCGATCTGAAAACTCATCCTACATCACTTGAAAAGCGGAAAAGAAATCACGAACTCAATGCATCATCAGCTAAAAAGAAGAAAAATATTTGAATGTTTATTTTATAGATACTGTTTTACTTTTTTTTTAATGTTTCTTTATTTATTTCTGTATTTCAACTCTTTTTTTAATACTGTTTTAGGGTAACAAAATTAATGTACATGGACTTTTATTGAAGCGAAATAGATCATTCTCTTTGCTTGTTTAGATTGAAAGATCTTATACTGCCACATAAAACAAGTCGTAAAACGATTATGAAAAAAAGGCAAGAGGTTAAAATAGTGGTTGACAATGATTTGAAACAATCTTTTGAATTCTTAACTTTCACAGGGAACAGGCTTAAAAATATTTAATTTTTAAATAAGTGTTTTGTTTGATATAACTTCTTCATTCGAATAATGTGGTTATGATTATGATTAAATATTTTAGATATTTTTCGAATATGTCAAATAGTTTATCTAATGTTAATTTAACGCAAGAAGTCTTGTCGTTTCGTAACGAAACATTTTATAATTTAGTCGAACAACAATGTGGTAGTGTTGCTCTTGAAATTATGCAGGTACAGGATGTATCATCCGTCGATTGTCTTCTTGAAACTGGGGATATTTTTTCTATCCTACAACTTGATTCAGATGAACTTATTCCAATCAAAAGGAAAGCAGGCATTTTTCTCAATGATGGTGGTTTTGTTTTGAAAAAAGGATTGGTGTACAAAGTTGAAACTTTTTTTAATACTCTTAATATTCTTAACCAACAACACTTGAAATCTACTGCTCCAAAAAATTCAAATAACTCTTCTGATATAATTGTACCTGAATGTCTTCTGCAAAAATTTCCATTTATTAAAACACTCATCATCTATTCAAACCTTATTATCAAGAGCAAATATGACTTTACACTCTTAAATATTATATTAAATAATATGTTTCGAAATTGCATAACCGAAGAAAAAGGTTTTCGTTATGAAGCTATTGTACGACAATTTGCAACTAGTTTATACATACTTGGAGGTCGTACTTCATATGAATTTATTCGTATAAATATTCCAGCATTTCTTCCAAGTGTTCAAATTATTCAGTCATTTATCGCTGCTTCAGATAATCACCTAACTGAAGCACTATTTAATTTTGAAGGCGCGTATAATTATTTCAATTCTATTCAATCAACATTAGGTTTTATTGCAGAAGATACTACAACAGTCGTTCCTAAAATTACGTATGATACGACATCAAACACGTTTGTCGGTTTTAGTCTTCCACTAGATAATAATGGATTGCCAATCATTAACTCTTATAAAACAGACTCGTTTACTTGCCTTGAACAATGGTATTATAATGTACCGACAGCAAAATCACTTAATGCCTTTCTCATTCAACCTCTTTCTGTCTTATCTAGCAACAAGTCGCCGTATGTTCTAGCCGCTTATGGCACAGATAATAAATTCATATCATCAGATGTTATTTCTCGTTGGCATCATATTTATCAACAATGTAAAGCTAAAGGAATTCGCATTGTTGGTTTTTCAACTGATTGTGATAGTCGTTATTTACATGCTATGCGAGTATCTCTTGGCTTTTTTGCTGAATTTGTTTATGATGATCATCCAGATTTATTTTCTATTGATCTTCCAAATAGTTGGTCGTGGTTTTTCATGCAGCATAAACAGCTATATATTTGTTTCCAAGATGCAGTTCACATCTGTACTAAACTGCGCAATCGATTACTTTCTGAAACAACACATCTACTTTTAGGAGACCAATTAATTAACATTGAACCACTTATATACATGATTAACAATTATTCGAAACTCGATCATTCATTAGTACTTTCCGATGTGAATCCAAAAGATCGTCAAAATTATAGTTCAACAGAAAAAATTTCTAATGATAATGTATTAATTTTACTTGAACAAATTCCAAACTCATTAGGTTTAAATATTTATTTGCAGGTATGTAACGAAGTAACTATAAAGAGGGTGAAACCATTTTCTAGGATTTGTAAGATTAATAATATTTGAAATTGAATTGGAAAAAAATTCTTGAGAAATGATGGAAAAAATTGACTCGATTTTCGTAAGTTGTAAAGAAAGACTTTACGCTTCATCACATGCTAAAACACTCTGAATATTTTTGCGCCTTTGTTAAAATGTATTTATCCTATCTCAAAAATCTGATGATTAATTATTGAAAAGAAGGATAAATTTGAAGTCATCGACTATTACGCTAAAGCTTTGTGAAAAAGTAACTAGATGGACACCAGTTCTAGTCCCAACTGATCGAATTGGTGGCAGTCAGTCTGAGTATCCGATTTGACTGGATATTTGATAAACTGACCTGGAGTTAATTCAGTAAAAGGTATTTTCGCTTTTAACTAAAGCTCTTGGAGTCAATAAATCCGAATCTGTAAGCAAAATCCTGGAATGGCATATTTGATCTTTTCCATCAAAGAAAGGTTTTTTCAAAATAATAAGTACTTATAAAGTTGTACAATAGGTTTTCAGGATCAAGGAATCGGAATCTGTGATCAGTTTCTCAGAGTTTTGAATTTGAATTGTTCACTTAGAAATTATTTTTTAGCGAAAGAATCTTTATCGTCAAAAATATCACTTTCTTTGTAAAACATGTTCGAATGAAAAAGCTTTGAAGAAAAAATTTTTTTTTTACTAAAATAATTGTTATGAGCAATAAAGTCAAAATCAAAATTTCAAGAAACTACTTGCACATTCGGATTTTTCGATCCTGCACCTCTGGCAAAAGTCAACAATACTAATTATCGAATCAACTCTAGACTAGTTTATTCAAAATCTCATAACAATGAATACTCAGATAGCTGAGTATCCAGCACATTTGCACTGTTGCATTTCTGAGAATAACTAGTAATCATAGTTTTTTTTTGCAGGCAATAAGAAGTGTTCGACTTGCTTATATAGAAAAAGATACCAATATTTTGGACCGTATATATCACGCATGGACGTCAGTATTTATTTTTCGTTTATGGCTGTTTTGGATTAATGCAATGAATAAGAATGATCTCGATCTAATTTTTTCTCGAGTATCTCATTATGATATAAAATCTATGAAAGAACGGTCTCAAGCAAAAAATCAATATTTTATTACATATCAATCATATTTTTGTGTCGAAATCAATGCACACTCTCTTGTTTATCTTGCTATGCTCGTTTCGGAGGGACAACTTCCAGTAGACGCTCTTAATGTTTGGCTAGAAAATTCGCAAACATGCGGAGGTGCATTCAGATCAGCAAGAGCGATATCAAGTAATTCTTCAGGTGGAGTGAATTTCACGGTTTCACAATTTCTTAATCGAATAAATAAATTATCAGCACTGTTAAACATCAAAAGTAATGCAAATCAAAATAATCTTCGTTTTCCGCAACATCATAAGTTATCTAGAAAATTACCGAACACTTCAAATCCAACAAGTACAATTAGTCTTTCTAAAACAGATATTGAAAATAGTGTACGAACATCATACAATCATGTAACTAAACTTTTTAATCAATTGAAAATGAAAGAAATCTTAAAAAATGGACAAGTATTATCAATCGAAGAAATGAGTAATGTTATTTCACACAAATTAGAAGAATTCTGGTCGACAGAAAATATTATCATTAACAGCCAGAGTGCAAGTTCAAATTTTGAATCAGACGATGAAACAAATTTTGATGAATATGAAAATTTTACTAATAATTACGATAGTGATGAAGAATTCGAATTAAATGATAATTTCGACGTGTTCAATAATGCGAATATTTCGACGAATCGTGGAATGCGATTATTTGATAATGTAAAAAGAGAACTCGCTCATACTTTTTTCAAAGTTAGTATTAACCATGAAAATAAGTTTCTACACAAACAAGCTGCGTGTTGGGTTTTGGAAAAAGACAAATCCTCATTATCTGTAGATCGATTATCACGAGTTCAAGGTCGATGAAAGTTTGTATTTCGAACTGCTTTCTTTAAAATAATAATGAACAAATGTAGCTGACATTGTACTTTCACTTTACTATATCATTACTTTCCTCAGCAAAGTTTATGTTTTCTTATGTTACTTGTCTAACTATACTAATACCAATATATAAACAAAGCAACTTTGAATAAAACAAAGATATATGAATGTTCTTCCTGCTGCTCGAAATCATCTGAAATCACCTGAAATCACATGAAATCATCTGAAATCACCTGAAATCAGTTTGAAATCATCTGAAATCACATGAAATCATCTGAAATCACATGAAATCATCTGAAATCACATGAAATCATCTGAAATCACATGAAATCATCTGAAATCACATGAAATCATCTGAAATCACATGAAATCATCTGAAATCACATGAAATCATCTGAAATCATCTGAAATCAAGAAATCATGAAATCAGTTTGTTCCCCCTTGACATAAATAAAGCTCTTAATGAGAGTAGTTCATTGATAAAATAGTAACCTTTCTTGTGTTATCTATCCTTAAATATTGAATATTTAAAATTCTCATGTATTTATTTTTTTCAGAAAGGAAACAAGAAAATAGCTAAAACTACATAATTAACTAATCTAACTTAGAATTTTTTTCATATTAAATTGGAAGTCGAAACTTAAAAGATTTTTTTTATGAGATAAAAAAGATCATAGCTTTTCGTTGGAAGATCGAATAAAATTTCAATTTCTCAACAATGCGATAGCTTCGAAAAACCCAAAAATTCTAGATTATCTCCCTTTTTCTTATTTCTCTTTAGTACGAATTAAATGAATACCGTCTTGGAAATAATTAACCCATTTCAAACAACTAGATATTATTTGTGGCAAATTTTACGAAATAAATGTATTGACTCAATTTCTTATTCGATATTTATTTAATAGAATATTCGTATAGTCATTCATATTACATGTAAACTGCACCGTTCGAATACAATCAGACTTATGCACAAAAAGAGAAATCATTTCAACATTCACAGTGAATGTTTTACCAATAGAATTTTATCATTTAAAACTTTATCTATGGGCATATTAATTGATAGAGAAAGCAAAACAGAATACCTTTAATAGAATTTTCAAGGATATACACATTAACAAATATATGCAAAACTTACTTTCTGTTCTTTCGCTATTATCGTAGGTATTATCTAAAGATTGATTACAATATCTTGTTCTACAAGAACCATTTTTTCAGCATCATTTTCATGTTTAGATCCAGGATTTATCGGGAAATCTTTGTGCAAAATTGTAGCGCTAACATCAAAAAAATCTCTCATAAATGGTTGTATTTTTTTTTTCATATAAGGTTCGTGATGGATCTTTAATAGAACTATTAATGAAAATATCATTCTACATAAAATCAAATAAAAAACGAATATGTGATTAAAATTAATATTACTTCATTCTTTTTACAAGTATAAAGATCAATAAGTGTATCAATATTACCGAATAAATTAGATAATGGAAAACCATAATAAAGAAATAATTCAACAAATTCTCGTTGATTATGTTTTAGTGCCAATAAAAATAAATCATTTAAATTAATATTCTAATAAAAATAATAATAAAAAAAATATAAATAGAAAATAGAGAAGAAATTTTCAAAAGAAGATTATCCTATAGTTCTTTTTTTCTTATCCAATCTGTTTCATTTTTCATAATGTTATTTCTAGCTATATCCACACGATTCCATTCTAATACTAAACGAAGTTGTTCATGTTTATGTTGTATAGTTGTTTCACATCCCTTTTTATCAGAAGTAGCTATAGAAAGAAACATTTTCTTTTATTTAAATAAATCATAAAAGAATTTAATATACCGCGGGTAGCCCAAAAGTAAGGAAACATGGACAAAAAAAACTAGGATTTTTTCGATTTTGTTGTCAGGGCAAAACATGGGTTTGTTCGGCCCAATATAGAGGTTGTCAAGGGTCCTCTTTCATATGACCCGACCAACCCTATGTTTTACCCTTACAATAGAATCGAAAAAAATTCTGCATTTCTTGTCCATGTTTCCTTACTTTTGGACCATCCGGTATATATTTCACCAACCCTTTAATAGAGCTTGTAAAATAGCTAAATCAATATCGGGTTCAACTAAATGATGTAAACTAAGACTAATTATATTCAAAAAATTTCTTCGAATATAAATACATTCATAAACTAATTCAAAATTATTCTTATCATCAGTACAATGTGCATGATGATCCGTTGTAACATATGTATTGACTGAACCATTAATTGAAAGAAGTTCATCGTTAAGGTCTTCACGAAGTCTTATTTTTAATTCATCATAATACTTTGCTAAAATATCTGAATCAATACTAAAACAAAAAAACTTACTTTGCAGTGAATATTCATTATACCATTCGTATTCTTGTTTAAATACTATTAATAATACAGATTGATAAAGAAATTTTAAAAACTACAAGATGGAATGTGTATAGTTGTAACCCTCAGCACATTTAAGTATCGAAATACCAATCGAAAATCACGTGACCGCTTGCTAGGTACACGGATGGTTTATGATTAATTATCATTTATAGAAAAAAAAAGATATCAAATTAATTCATTCGTAAAACTTAGTCTACACTGATGCTAATTCTAAATTCTTGACCGAAATTTGCTAAAAAATGGAATTTTCACTGAGAAAGATCTGTTTGATTATAGAATGCTAACGAAGAGCTGTATGTGGTTGTTGTTACATTATAATCACCGATGAAATAAAGACTTTGGATAATTTTTAAATCAAGAAAAAGTCACAACAGTTTGTTTATGAATAGTTGACTTATTAATAAATTATGAAAGTAAACAGGTTTGTATGAGATGTGAATGCTTTCTACACTCAAATCATTAATTATCATGAAACTTTTAGACTTTCACCTAGATATTTGACTGCATATGTACATATGAGTATTATTCATTTCCGATTGTTAATATATATTAATACATATGCCAATGGAAATTGTGGTAACAACTAAGAACCCTTATATTCTGATAAACGTACTTAAAATACAATATTTGAAACATTTTTAACACGTGTAAAATAGGACATTTTATTGAAAGATCTTATAATTGAGCATAAAGATAAAAAATGAATCCAAAATGCTTTTGAATATATAGATAAATGTATAATGAACTTTACAATAAGCAAACGATAGAGAAGTTTAGTAGAAACACAAAAAATACATAAGCATTCGACGATTACAATTTCGCTGCTAATAGCAGACCAGATGATAAATATCAAGAGTACGTGATAATTGAAAAAAATTAAAAGTGCATTCATTGTACTTTATCTGTAATCGATGAACAACGTTTGTTTTTGTGATTTTGAGGAAAAAAATAATGCTAGCCATACGTTGCAGTGGTATTTATACGTCATTTTAGCACGTAAACATTTGCCGTTCGAACAAGCAAAAAAAGTAAATAAATCATTATTTGTTGTTCAATTGACCAAAAAAAAAGAAATATTTGTTATTCACTTGACCTAAAAAAAGAAAAAAGGTTAACATTTGTTGTTCAATTGAGCAGAAAAAAGGAAAAAATACATCAACATTTTTTGTTCTATTGAGCAAGAAAAAGAAAAAATAAATCAACGTTTGTTTCTCAAACAAGAAAAAAAATAAACATTTGTTGTTCACCTGAGCCAAAAAAAGGAAAAATGTTAACATTTGTTGTTCAATTGAGCAAAAAAAAAGGAAAAAATAAATCAACGTTTGTTTCTCGATCAAGAAAAAAAATAAACATTTGTTGTCCTACTAAGGAGAAAATTCAACTGAAGAAAAAAAAGGAAAGTTATATATCTTGAATTTTTTTCAAATATTTATCATTAAGAATCTTGATCTTCATTAATAATTGATTATGTGTAATATTTTCTTTGCTGTAAGTTTTAATGGCATCATGCGTTTTATTGATCAAGTCGTTAAAAATTTCGTGGTGTTCAAGTGCCTTTTTCGTTCGATCAGCCTAAATACATGTTTATATTTTATAATTAATTTACTTATTACTCGCGCAAAGCTTGATTCTAGCATTTTATTACAAACAAACACATTTCGTTTGAACAACTAGCATTCTAACTGATATTTTTTAAAGTATAAATAATTAATTCAGTTTTGACGAAGTTAATAGATACTCTTCTGTCGTCAATAATGAACTATATGGTAAAAAAAAA